TTTTAACACGTCTCTACTTCCGTGAAATGTTAATTGAAAGTCGTCAAAAACGTGCACTTCGCGTAAGTATTGAACCAACAATTTATGATACGTTCGCAACACGTAAATTAGTTGTTCGCGCACGTAAACCAGTGGCCGAAGCATCCCAGCTTTTAGCCGGTGATCTTCTTCATGTGTGGTTTGATTGGGCAAAAACCTATTCAAACCTTTAAAAAAGTCAGTTGACCATTCCTTGCACGGACCGTAAAAGACAAATCCTAACTTTAGTGTTGGTATTTTTTTGCGCTATTTGTGAGGAACGTTATAATAGAATTGAGCATCGTGGATAAACATTTTAAAAAATGTTTAGACGAGAGCTTTCAAAGAAATGTTGAAGGAGTCTTATATGTCAGGTTCTACAGGAGAACGTCCTTTTAGTGACATCGTTACAAGTATTCGTTACTGGGTAATTCACAGTGTTACAATCCCATCTTTATTTATTGCAGGATGGCTTTTCGTAAGTACTGGTTTAGCGTATGATGTATTCGGAACACCGCGTCCAAATGAATACTTCACAGAGGAACGCCAAGTGCTTCCTTTAATTTCTGATCGTTACGGTGTACTTGCACAACTTGATGAATTTGTACCAGAATAAATTGGATTTCTTTGGTGTATAAAGATTTATACACCAAGCGGTTCGTATACCTTCCAATTTGATTTGGCATTCCGCCAAAACTCGAAGCGCTATATATTAGAGCTTCACTGAACTCATCTAGCCTTTTTCTTATTATGTCAATTAAAACGTATCCGATTTTTACATTCCGTTGGCTCGCAGTTCATGCATTAGCAGTACCAACAGTATTCTTCCTTGGTTCAATTACAGCAATGCAATTTATTCAACGTTAAGAGGAGAAAATTGTATGACAAATCCAAATCCAAATAAACAAACAGTAGAGTTAAACCGAACAAGTCTCTACTGGGGTTTACTTCTTATTTTTGTGCTTGCTGTTCTTTTTTCAAGCTATATTTTTAACTAAAACAGATTTGTAGGGGAAAGATCTATGTCTAACACGACAACAGGACGAATTCCATTATGGTTCGTAGGAACAGTTGCTGGCCTTGCTGCGCTTGGTCTTTTAACAATTTTCTTTTATGGATCATACGTAGGGCTTGGTTCATCTCTTTAAGAAACCAAGACTACACAGTTCTAAAAAGCGCCATTCCTAAAAAATGGCAACCATACCGAAGATGGGCAGTGATATGCATTGCCCATTTTCTTCTTTTACATTTTAAAGAAACCAATTTTTTTTTGTTTTTGCATCCAACGCCCAACTGTGAAATAAACACATATCCTTATGTGTACTGTTGTTTTTACCAAAAACAGCATTTAATATTTAAACTTACCAAATTTAATCATGAGTAAAGTATATAACTGGTTTAACGAACGTCTTGAAATTCAGTCAATTGCTGATGACGTTACAAGTAAATACGTACCACCACACGTAAACATTTTTTACTGTTTAGGTGGAATTACGCTCACTTGCTTTATTGTGCAAGTAGCAACAGGATTCGCAATGACATTCTACTACCGTCCAACAGTTGCTGAGGCATTTGCTTCAGTACAGTTCATTATGACTGAAGTAAACTTCGGTTGGCTCATTCGTTCTGTGCACCGTTGGTCAGCAAGTATGATGGTATTAATGATGATTTTACACGTGTTCCGTGTGTATTTAACAGGTGGATTCAAAAAGCCACGTGAACTTACATGGGTAACTGGAGTAATTCTTTCAGTAATTACAGTATCTTTCGGAGTAACTGGATACTCACTTCCATGGGACCAAGTTGGATACTGGGCTGTTAAAATTGTAACTGGTGTACCAGATGCAATTCCAGTAATCGGAGGATTCGTAGTAGAACTTCTTCGTGGAAGTGTTGGAGTTGGACAACCAACTCTTACACGTTTCTACAGTTTACACACATTTGTACTCCCGCTTCTTGCAGCTGTATTCATGCTTATGCACTTCCTTATGATTCGTAAGCAAGGAATCTCAGGACCTCTTTAAAAAGAGCCTACCGGCCTAGCAAAACTGGAATAATTTTTCCATGGAGCTCTCAACTGAGAGCTCCATTTGTCAGCCTACGTACTATAAAAAAAAGAAGAAAGACCATTGAGTTCAAAGTATTTCACTGGAGTTTATATCTAAATTGGTTCTGTTCACAATTCTATGTTATACTTTTGTATAGAAAGTCAGTAAATTATTAGAATATTAAGAGGTAGCTTATGGGATTACCGTGGTACCGTGTACACACTGTAGTATTAAATGACCCGGGTCGTTTAATTGCAGTACACCTTATGCACACTGCATTAGTAGCAGGTTGGGCTGGATCAATGGCATTATATGAATTATCAGTATTTGACCCTTCAGATCCAGTATTAAACCCAATGTGGCGTCAAGGTATGTTTGTTCTTCCGTTCATGACACGTCTTGGTGTATCTACATCATGGGGTGGATGGACAATTGATGGTGAAAGCACTAGCAATGCAGGAATTTGGAGTTACGAAGGAGTTGCGGCATCGCACATTATTCTTTCTGGACTTCTTTTCCTTGCAGCAATTTGGCACTGGGTATTCTGGGATCTTGAACTTTTCCGTGACCCACGTACTCAAGCTCCAGCATTAGACCTTCCAAAGATTTTTGGTATTCACCTTTTCCTTTCAGGGGTTCTTTGTTTTGGATTTGGTGCATTCCACGTAACTGGTCTTTTTGGACCTGGTATCTGGGTGTCTGATCCATACGGTCTTACAGGTGGATGTGAGCCAGTAGCTCCAGCATGGGGAGCAGAAGGATTTGATCCTTACAACCCTGGTGGAATCGCAGCGCACCACATTGCAGCTGGTATTGTTGGAATTCTTGCAGGACTTTTCCACTTAAGTGTTCGTCCTCCACAGCGTCTTTACAAAGGTTTACGTATGGGTAACGTAGAAACAGTACTCTCAAGTAGTATTGCAGCGGTATTCTGGGCAGCGTTTGTAGTTGGTGGAACTATGTGGTACGGATGTGCTGCAACACCAATTGAACTTTTTGGACCAACTCGTTACCAATGGGATCAAGGTTTCTTCCAACAAGAAATTGAAAAGCGTGTACAAACAAGTGTAGCTGGTGGTGCATCACTTTCTGATGCATGGTCAAACATTCCAGAAAAACTTGCGTTCTACGATTACATCGGAAACAACCCAGCGAAAGGTGGACTTTTCCGTTCAGGGCCAATGGACAACGGTGATGGTATTGCTGCAGGTTGGTTAGGACACGCGACATTTACAGACAAGCAAGGGCGTGAGCTCTTTGTACGTCGAATGCCAACGTTCTTTGAAACATTCCCTGTAATTCTTACAGATAGTGATGGTGTTGTACGTGCTGACGTACCATTCCGTCGTGCAGAATCAAAGTACTCAATTGAGCAAGTTGGAGTAAATGTATCATTCTACGGTGGAGAACTTGATGGATTAAGTTTTACTGATCCAGCAACAGTGAAAAAGTATGCACGTCGTGCACAACTCGGTGAAGTTTTTGAATTTGACCGCGCAACTCTTCAATCGGATGGTGTATTCCGTAGTAGCCCACGTGCATGGTTTACGTTTGCACACGTAAGCTTCGCACTCCTTTTCTTCTTTGGACACATTTGGCACGGATCACGTACGATCTTCCGTGACGTATTTGCTGGTATTTTAGGGGTAGAATTAGACGAACAGGTAGAATTTGGTGTATTCCAAAAACTTGGAGATGTAACAACGCGTCGTCAAGCTGTGTAAATTTAATTCAGAGGAAAAAATATTATGGAAGCTCTTGTTTATACTTTCTTACTTGTGGGAACTCTTGGAGTTCTCTTCTTTGCTATCTTTTTCCGTGAGCCACCGCGTATTGCAAAATAATAGCGGTTCTTAAGGAATAACATGAGGTACGCGTACAAAGTGTACGCGTACCTTCAAACTAAACTTAAAAAAACCAAACCATTCGAACTTTTTCGCAAGGATTCACTAAAAAAGTTGTCTGAAGTTTATGCCATCGACTAAACTAGTACTAGTTGAAACAAAGTATTGCTCTATACAACTTGGTTAAGCGTGTATGTCTTAAATAGGTTATGCAATGAAATGATGATTTAATTAGGTAAATAGCATGACTATTGCTCTTGGTAAAGTTGAACAGGAACGTGGTTGGTTCGACAACGTAGATGACTGGCTTAAGCGTGACCGTTTCGTATTCGTAGGTTGGTCTGGACTTTTATTATTCCCATGTGCATACTTTGCACTTGGTGGATGGCTTACTGGAACAACATTCGTAACTTCATGGTACACACACGGTTTAGCAAGTTCATACCTTGAAGGGTGTAACTTCCTCACTTCAGCAGTATCAACGCCATCAAACGCGATGGCACACTCACTTCTTCTCCTTTGGGGACCAGAAGCACAAGGTGACTTCACACGTTGGTGTCAACTTGGTGGATTATGGACATTCGTAGCTCTTCACGGAGCATTTGGATTAATCGGATTTATGCTTCGTCAATTTGAAATTGCTCGTGCAGTACAAATTCGTCCATACAACGCGATTGCATTCTCAGCACCAATTGCTGTGTTTGTATCTGTATTCCTTATTTACCCACTTGGGCAATCAGGTTGGTTCTTTGCACCATCATTTGGTGTAGCTGGAATTTTCCGTTTTATTCTTTTCTTCCAAGGTTTCCACAACTGGACACTTAACCCATTCCACATGATGGGAGTAGCTGGTGTACTCGGTGCAGCACTTCTTTGTGCAATTCACGGAGCAACTGTAGAGAACACACTTTTCGAAGATGGTGATGGTTCAAACACATTCCGTGCATTCAACCCAACTCAAGCAGAAGAGACTTACTCAATGGTAACGGCTAACCGTTTCTGGTCACAGATTTTCGGTGTAGCTTTCTCAAACAAGCGTTGGCTTCACTTCTTCATGCTCTTCGTACCTGTTACTGGGTTATGGATGTCAGCACTTGGAGTAGTAGGATTAGCACTTAACCTCCGTGCATACGACTTCGTATCACAAGAGATCCGTGCTGCAGAAGATCCTGAGTTCGAAACATTCTACACGAAGAACATTCTTCTTAACGAAGGAATCCGTGCATGGATGGCAGCTCAAGATCAGCCTCATGAAAACCTTGTATTCCCTGAGGAGGTACTTCCACGTGGAAACGCTCTTTAATTCAACTCTTGTTGTTGGTGGTCGAGATCAAGAATCTACTGGGTTCGCTTGGTGGTCTGGAAACGCTCGTCTTATCAACCTTTCTGGTAAACTTCTTGGTGCACACGTTGCACACGCAGGACTTATTGTATTCTGGGCTGGAGCTATGAACCTCTTTGAGGTTGCACACTTCGTACCTGAGAAGCCAATGTATGAGCAAGGATTAATCCTTCTCCCGCACCTTGCAACACTTGGTTATGGTGTTGGTCCTGGTGGGGAAGTTCTTGACACATTCCCATACTTCGTTTCTGGAGTTCTTCACCTTATTTCATCAGCTGTTTTAGGTTTTGGTGGTGTTTACCACTCAATTATTGGACCAGAAACACTTGAAGAATCGTACCCATTCTTTGGATACCTTTGGAAAGACAAGAACAAAATGACAACAATCTTAGGAATTCACCTCGTACTCCTTGGATTTGGTGCTTGGCTTCTTGTATGGAAAGCAATGTACTTCGGTGGTATTTACGACACATGGGCTCCAGGAGGAGGTGATGTGCGTGTAATTAACTACCCAACTGGTAACCCAGGAGTAATCTTTGGATACTTACTTAAATCACCATTCGGTGGTGATGGTTGGATTGTTAGTGTAGATAACATGGAAGATGTAATCGGTGGACACATTTGGATCGGAACAATCGAGATCCTTGGTGGTTTATGGCACATCTTCACAAAGCCATTCGCATGGGCACGTCGTGCTTTCGTATGGTCTGGTGAAGCGTACCTTTCATACAGTATTGCAGCAGTGTCAGTAATGGCATTCGTAGCAGCAGTAATGGTATGGTTTAACAACACTGTTTACCCTTCAGAATTCTTTGGACCAACTGGACCAGAGGCTTCACAAGCACAGGCATTTACATTCCTCGTTCGTGACCAGCGTTTAGGAGCAAACATTGCTTCAGCACAGGGACCAACTGGATTAGGTAAATACCTCATGCGTTCACCAACTGGAGAAATTATCTTCGGTGGAGAAACTATGCGTTTCTGGGATATGCGTGCTCCATGGGTTGAGCCACTTCGTGGACCAAACGGGCTTGATTTATCAAAACTCAAGAACGATATTCAACCATGGCAAGAGCGTCGTTCAGCTGAATACATGACACACGCACCGTTAGGATCTCTTAACTCTGTAGGTGGTGTAGCAACTGAAATTAACTCAACAAACTTCGTAAACCCACGTAGTTGGCTTGCAACGTCACACTACGTATTAGGTTTCTTCTTCTTTGTTGGACACCTTTGGCACGCAGGACGTGCACGTGCAGCGGCTGCTGGATTCGAGAAAGGAATTGATCGTGATACAGAGCCAGTACTTTCAATGCGTCCTCTTGACTAATACTCAAGACTTATTGGCATGTTTTTGACACACCAATAAACATTTGAAACTACTAACTGGGCCTTCGTATGAAGGCCCAAACAAACATACAATAAAAATTTAAAACTAGAATAAACAACGTCAAAAAAAAAGTAAGACACCATCCAGGTTTTTTGCTACACTAGCAATCAAACAGGGCATGTATCTCAGCTGGATAGAGTATGTGGCTACGAACTACAGTGTCGGGGGTTCGAATCCCTCCTTGCCCGAAAACAAACTTGACTATACATTCATGGCATTTGCCAAAATAACGTATAGTGGAGCCAAAAACACAATTAATCCGTCAAAACAAAACATAAGAAATAATGAAGCCAAAAGTTAAAAGATTGAAGTAAAAGGTAGGAGGTAACTCGAATCTTTTTGGTAGAATTAACTGCAATGGTTAACTCGAAAATCCTTATATACAAAGGCATTTGATCAATAATGATCTTCTTATAATATTTAATATTTGACTTTGCGTTATTCTGTAAATAACCATGCAAATACGGAACGTTCTCACTCTATTACATATACCTCGATAAAGTGCATACACAAGATACAATAAAGACGTGATATGTAAAATCAAAATAGAAAAACCACAAATCACTTCAAGTTCGGCTAAGGTCTCAGCTAACTAGGATTAAGCAACTCAACGTCCTTACAACACAGAGGTCGAATAATATGTTATGAAACCAACATTAACAACCCATAATAAATAAATCTAACTAAGTTTTACAGATATTGAATTTAAACGTCGTAAACTAGAACACATATTACGGTCTATGTATTTGAATTCATAAAATACCGAAAATAAATATCGAAAGAGGCAGACCTCTAAATAAATACCCTGTCTTTCTTTATAGTTATAACCGAAAGCAATTAATGCGTTTCAAAACACATCATGGAGAGTTTGATCCTGGCTCAGAAGGAACGCTGGCAGCGTGCATAACACATGCAAGTCGAACGCGAAAGAATCCTTCGGGATTTGGACGAGTGGCGAACGGGTGAGGAACACGTAAGAATCTACCTTTCGGTTGGGGATAACTTCTGGAAACGGGAGCTAATACCCAATATGCTGTGGAGTGAAAGAATTTCGCCGAGAGACGATCTTGCGTCTGATTACCTTGGTGGGGTTGGTAAGGGCCCACCAAGGCGACGATCAGTAGCTGGTCTGAGAGGATGGACAGCTAAATTGGGACTGAGACACGGCCCAGACTCCTACGGGAGGCAGCAGTGGGGAATTTTCCGCAATGGACGAAAGTCTGACGGAGCGACGCTGCGTGAAGGATGAAGGCCAGCGGGTTGTAAACTTCTTTTCTCGAAGAAGAAAAAAATGACGGTATTCGAGGAATAAGCATCGGCTAACTCTGTGCCAGCAGCCGCGGTAAGACAGAGGATGCAAGTGTTATTCGGAATGATTGGGCGTAAAGAGTCTGTAGGCGGTTTAGAAAGTCTTTTGTGAAATACTTCAGCTCAACTGAGGCTCCGCAAAAGAAACTTCTAGACTTGAGGAAAGTAGAGGTACAGGGAATTTCCGGTGGAGCGGTGAAATGCGTAGATATCGGAAGGAACACCAATATGGCGAAGGCACTGTACTGGGCTTTTCCTGACGCTCAGAGACGAAAGCTGAAGGAGTGATTAGGATTAGATACCCTAGTAATTTCAGCCGTAAACGATGAAAACTCACTGTCGAGCCAATATATGGAGCGGTGGTCAAGCTAACGCGTGAAGTTTTCCGCCTGGGGATTACCCCTGCCAAAGTGAAACTCCAAGGAATTGACCGGGGACCCGCACAAGCGGTGGAGTATGTGGTTTAATTCGATGCCACGCGAAAAACCTTACCAGGGTTTGAAATAATTTCAAAACTTCTTGAAAGAGAAGCCTCCTTCGGGATGGAATTACAGGTGGTGCATGGCTGTCCTCCGCTCGTGTTGTGAAATGTCAAGTTAAGTCTTGTAACGAGCGCAACCCATGTCTCTTGTTGCTGTTTACAGTGCTTAAGAGAAACTGCCGATCAACATCGGAGGAAGGTGTGGATGATGTCAAGTCAGCATGCCCCTTACATCCTGGGCTACACACGTACTACAATGGTCGAGACAAAGGGTCGCTAACCTGCGAAGGTATGCCAATCTCATAAACTCGATCTCAGTTCGGATTGTACTCTGCAACTCGAGTACATGAAGGTGGAATCGCTAGTAATCGCTGGTCAGCATACAGCGGTGAATACGTTCCCGGGTCTTGTACACACTGCCCGTCACACCATGGAAGTCGACCCTTCCCTAAGTCGTTACTCGAACCTGTAAAGGACGAGGACGCCGAAGGCAGAGTTGGTGACTAGGGTGAAGTCGTAACAAGGTAGCCGTACTGGAAGGTGTGGCTGGAATACCTCCTTAAATGAAAAACAAATACAACCATATCGAGACGATTTAATAAGTCGTCTTGATCGGGCTATTAGCTCAGGTGGTTAGAGCGCACCCCTGATAAGGGTGGCGAAACCAGCTTGCGGGTCACGGCCGTTATGCCCAGGCACAGGGGGTTTAGCTCAGTTGGTAGAGCGCTGCCTTTGCAAGGCAGACGTCAGCGGTTCGAGTCCGCTTACCTCCAGCCAAGACCTTTTTAAGGTCAATGAATTGCGGTATTTAACTTAAACAAAAGAAATCAATCAATAAAGGACATATGGTGGAGATCTAGGGACCTAGAGCCGATGAAGGGCGTGACAACCGACGAAATGCTTCGGGGAGTAGGACGTATACGTTGATCCGGAGATTCCCGAATAGGGCAACCTTAAACATTCCTTCTTGAATTCATAGAGAAGAGAAAGTCAACTCAGTGAACTGAAACATCTTAGTAGCTGAAGGAAAAGAAAGCAAAAGCGATTCCCAAAGTAGCGGCGAGCGAAATGGGACCAGTCTAAAAGAGAAAAACGTTAAGTTTTTGTCAGGTTATGGGACCAAACACCAAGGTAGAACATTACATGAGAAACGAAACAGCTGAAACCTGTACCATAGATGGTGAAAGTCCAGTCGTTGAATCGTGTTCTTTTACCGTTTGGCTCCCGAGTAGTATGGGACACGTGAAATCCCGTATGAATTCGCGAGGACCACCTCGTAAGACTAAATACTCCTAGGTCACCGATAGCGAAAAGTACCGCGAGGGAAAGATGAAAAGAACCATTTTAAATGGAGTGAAATAGAACATGAAACCGTATGTTTACAATTAGTGGGAGGATGAACACATCTGACCGCATGCCTGTTGAAGAATGATCTGGCGACTTAGGAGACGTGGCAGGTTAAGATATTTAATCGAAGCCAAAGCGAAAGCATGTCTGAATAGGGCAACACGTCCCGTCTTCTAGACCCGAACCCAGGTGATCTAACCACGACCAGAATGAAGCTTTGGTGATACGAAGTGGAGGTTCGAACCGACCGATGTTGAAAAATCGACGGATGAGTTATGGTTAGGGGTGAAATGCCAATCGAACTTGGAGCTAGCTGGTTCTCCTCGAAATGCGTTGAGGCGCAGCGGTATATTATGAACTTTCCGGGGGTAAAGCTCTGTTTAGGTGCGGGCTGCGAAAGCGGTACCAATCTTTTGCAAACTAAGAATACCGGAAATGATTTCAATCTACCAGTGAGACTGCGGGGGACAAGCTTCGTAGTCAAGAGGGAAACAGCCCAGACCACCAGCTAAGGCTCCTAAATAAAAACTAAGTGGCAAAGGAGGTGAAAATGCAGTGACAATCAGGAGGTTTGCCTAGAAGCAGCCATCCTCTAAGGAGTGCGTAATAGCTCACTGATCAAGCGTTTTTGCGCCGAAAATGACCGGAACTAAGTTTTTTGCCGAAGCTGTGGATATAGACACTTAAAGTGCTATGTGGTAGAGGAGCGTTCCGCATGGGGGGAAGCCAAGCGCGTAAGCAGCGGTGGACAGTGCGGAAGTGAGAATGTCAGATTGAGTAACGAAAACATTGGTGAGAATCCAATGCCCCGAAAACTTAAGGGTTCCTCTGCAAGGCTCGTCCGCAGAGGGTTAGTCAGGACCTAACATGAGGCCGAAAGGCGTAATGGATGGCAAGAAGGTTTATATTCCTTCACTATTGTTTTCTTAGTCCTGAGGGACGAACAAATGCACACCTTTTTTGTGTCCAGGCTTGGCAGCTTGGAAGTCACACACTAATGGATGGACATTTTTTCCAAGAAAAGCTCATTCGACTTTGAGAAAACAATACCTGTACCGTAAACCGACACAGGTGAGTGGGTTGAATAAACTAAGGGGAGCGAGATAACTCTCTCTAAGGAACTCGGCAAATTGGCTCTGTACCTTCGGAAGAAAGAGTGCCCTGTAAAGGGCCGCAGTGAAGAGATCCAGGCGACTGTTTACCAAAAACACAGGTCTCCGCAAAGTCGCAAGACGAAGTATGGGGGCTGACACCTGCCCAGTGCCAGAAGGTTAAAGAAGTTGGTCAATCTTCGGATGAAGCTGACAACTGAAGCCCTGGTGAACGGCGGCAGTAACTATAACTGTCCTAAGGTAGCGAAATTCCTTGTCGGGTAAGTTCCGACCCGCACGAAAGGTGTAACGATCTGGATACTGTCTCAGAGAGAGACTCGGTGAAATAAAAATATCTGTGAAGATGCGGATTACCTGCACACGGACAGAAAGACCCTATGAAGCTTTACTGTAACCTGGAATTGCTCTCAAGCTTATTTCGCGCAGCTTAGGTGGGAGACGTTGAACCTTTTCTTCCGGGAAAGGGGGAGTCATCAGTGAGATACCACTCTTGGTAAGCTAGAGCGCTCATTTTTAACCGTTATCCGGTAAAAAGACAGTTTCAGGCGGGCAGTTTGACTGGGGCAGTCACCTCCCAAAAGGTAATGGAGGTGTACAAAGGTTCTCTCAGGCTGGACGGAAATCAGCCATAGAGTGTAAAAGCATAAGAGAGCTTGACTGCGAGACGGACATGTCAAGCAGAGACGAAAGTCGGTTTTAGTGATCCGACGGTGCTGAGTGGAAAGGCCGTCGCTCAACGGATAAAAGTTACTCTAGGGATAACAGGCTAATCTCCCCCAAGAGTTCACATCGACGGGGAGGTTTGGCACCTCGATGTCGGCTCGTCGCATCCTGGAGCGGAAGTACGTTCCAAGGGTTGGGCTGTTCGCCCATAGAAAGCGGTACGTGAGCTGGGTTCAGAACGTCGTGAGACAGTTTGGTCCATATCCTGTGTAGGCGTTTAGAGCATTGAAAGGATCTCCCCTTTGTACGAGAGGACCAGGTGGGGACAGACCGCTAGTGTACCAGTTATTCCGCCAGGGGTAAACGCTGGGTAGCTATGTCTGGAGTAAATAACTGCTGAAAGCATATAAGTAGGAAGTTCACCTTAAGATGAGTGCTCTTTTGTCAGCAATGCCACTTTGGCATGCAACTAAGACAAGCAAGGTCACGGCAAGACCAGCCGTTTGATAGGCATGATGTAGAAGTACAGCAATGTATTCTGAAGCTGACATGTCCTAATAGACCGAGAGATTTGATTTTACTTAATACAACAAGGCCATAGCAATATGGCCAACCATATATCTTGGTGTCTTCGTCAAAGTCGAGACACAGCATCCCTTTCCGAACTGCGTGGTGAAAGGCTTTTGAGAGTAAGATAGGACACGGGACACTGTCTCTGAAAACATCTCGATGCCAAGATTTTTTTGGGAAGAAGTATAAACCTTCTTCCCTCTCTTTTATTCTAACTTAAAGATCTTTTTTATAAACTAGAGACTCAGTTTTTCTTTCGAGGTGGTCCTCGCGAATTCATATTTTTTTGCTCCGATTTAAAAAAAAGTGTATAGATCGATGACATTTTGTATCTATCTGTTATACTAATAACAGCAAATCGATACTGACTAGAGTTACAAGTTTTTTAACTTGTCCTTTTTGGGATTTTGTTACGCATTAAAAAATTTATACTTCTATATTATGACAGCAACTTTAGAGCGTCGCGCTAACGCGACTGTATGGGGACGTTTTTGTTCATGGATCACTTCAACTGAGAACCGTTTATACATCGGATGGTTCGGTGTATTAATGATCCCTACATTATTAACAGCTACTTCTGTATTCATCGTAGCATTCATCGCAGCTCCTCCAGTGGACATCGATGGTATTCGTGAGCCAGTATCTGGATCACTTATGTACGGAAACAACATCATCTCTGGTGCTGTAGTTCCTACATCAAACGCTATCGGACTTCACTTCTACCCAATCTGGGAAGCAGCTACACTTGATGAGTGGCTTTACAACGGTGGACCTTACCAGCTTATCGTATGTCACTTCTTCATCGGAGTATGTTCATACATGGGTCGTGAGTGGGAGCTTTCATTCCGTTTAGGAATGCGTCCTTGGATCGCTGTAGCTTACTCTGCTCCTGTAGCAGCTGCAACTGCAGTATTCATCATTTACCCAATCGGACAGGGATCTTTCTCTGACGGTATGCCTCTTGGTATTTCTGGAACTTTCAACTTCATGATCGTATTCCAGGCTGAGCACAACATCCTTATGCACCCATTCCACATGCTTGGAGTAGCTGGTGTATTCGGTGGTTCACTTTTCTCTGCTATGCACGGTTCACTCGTAACTTCTTCACTTATCCGTGAAACTACTGAGAACGAATCAGCTAACGCAGGATACAAGTTCGGACAAGAAGAAGAGACTTACAACATTGTAGCTGCTCACGGTTACTTCGGACGTCTTATCTTCCAATACGCTTCATTCAACAACTCACGTTCACTCCACTTCTTCCTCGCTATCTGGCCTGTAATGGGAATCTGGTTCACAGCTCTTGGTATTTCTACTATGGCTTTCAACCTTAACGGATTCAACTTCAACCAGTCAGTGGTAGATTCAAACGGACGTGTGATCAACACATGGGCTGATATTGTAAACCGTGCTAACCTTGGTATGGAAGTAATGCACGAGCGTAACGCTCACAACTTCCCACTTGACCTCGCATCTGTAGAAGCTCCTTCTATCAACGCGTAATTAAGTATTCCCCCTTCGGGGGGAGCAAAGGCCTCTTCTAGGGCCAAACAGAGCATGCATTCGAGCTGCTCAATAAATTCACACGTAAAATCCAAAGCTAAAGTAGCTTGGATTAAACGCCATCTGGAAGCTTTAAACTTCCTTGCAAGATTTTAGTGGTTTTTGATCAAAACACTAAATGGGCGCAACGATGGCACTTTTTATACACAAAAAAGGCCAATGATCAATTTATACCGACAATCGTCTAAAAATGATGTTTGTATACAACCCATTAGCGACAGCTCATTCACGAACCGTAGAGTGCACCCCTTTCGCCATGGTTATTAATATTTTATGAAATTCAATATTTTAAACTCCCTTTAATTAATTTAAATACAGCTATTTATCATTAGGAGGACTTAATTTAATGTCTAAATCAAAAAAAGGCTATTATGCCCGTTTCTATGAAATGGAGAACTATTCGTTTACGCCCATAAGGCCCGTAACGCGGTTTTACCTCAGTTCCAAGTTGAATCCAACGAACGTGCACGCATTTTTTCTATCCTTTCGGGCCTACAAGCGAAGTCTGGAGTTGAGCGTTATTCGTATTTCCACGCAGTTTGTAAATATCAGAAGTTTACGTATATTATTGATTATATGACGCTGAAGAAACTTGGTTCTTGGGACCTCCAGTGTCACGATTACATGTTTGTAAGTGATTTTAAGTGTCGCTTTCAAAACCCGCAGTCTGGTGACTGGACCGTTTTAACAACTAAAACGTATGCAGATCAGTATGAAGAGATGTTTACCGGCTGTGATCCTGCAAAACTTGCATTAACGGAGGCGCGTCTGTCTCTGCACCAATATTTACCTTATATCTGCATGCGGGTACCAACGCCATTCCCATGGGTTGACCCAGACATTCCGGAAGTGTTTGATGACTTCTATCTTGAGGATGTTTGGTGCGATATCATGACATATAAGGTTTCGTCTTAGCATTTTTTGAAAGAAAAGATATGCTTTACGGAAAACCATTTGAAATTTGCTAATTTATTTTATTTTAGTTAGAGCTCGGTTGGCGCGGGCTCACTGCCCGCGCCTGAGCGAAAATTTTGCTGCGAAGCTAAGTAAACTTTGTTTGTAATTAAGATACAAATGAGTTTAATGCTCCAACAACGAAAACTAAGAGGATCCAAAGCGCTGAACCTGAGAATACAAGTCCTTTTGAAGTTGCCCACCCTTCTGGTGAAGCAAGAAGTACAGGTACTCCAACAACAAGTGCTAATGAGAGTCCAATAAAAGCAAGGAGTGTAAGTTGAAAGATAACAAGCATAGGATTAATTTCTTGTAAAAAATAATTTCGCGAACAAAATGATTTTCAAGTACGATAGAGATACTATGTACTGCTTTAGTATATTCACTATAACTAAAGTTCTTCACGTCACTAAATATAGCGCAAAGATAAATCCTCGAGCTAGTTTACATATTAGCATCTTTCACTTTTTTTGCCCAGAATTCCTTAGTGACTTTTTTGAATAATTCTTGGTGCTTCTGTAAAGAATGGTTTGAATAAAATGCATATTCAGATAAACTATAGAGTGTAATTAGGCTCGGTAGCTCAGTGGTAGAGCAGAGGACTCATAATCCTAAGGTCACAGGTTCAATCCCCGTTCGAGCCAATTTAGATACGTCTACTTTGGTCTATTGGTTTATTGCATAGAGCATTAAATATTATATTATTTATACTATAAATACTCATTATATAAGGTATTATACTAAGTACAATGCTTGTGATTTTCTTGTTTTTCAATGAGAGGTTCGAGTATTTTTAGTATCTTTTGTTGTTTTTTTTCCGCAAGGTTTCGTAAAGAGCATTCAAACGAATCGTTTGATTCGTCGCTTTAGTATCTTGCTGTCTACGTATTTATCCATTTTTGATGGATTCCCAAATGTTTATGATTGACTTCATCCAACGCGTTATTGTTACTCAAAAATCAACAACGCTTCTTGAGTCTGAACGTTACACTTTTGATGTGGACGTACATCTTAAAAAGACAGACATTAAAGCGCTCGTTGAGGACCTTTATGGGGTTCATGTTGTTTCCGTAAATACGCACCGTCTCCCGCGTCGAACGACTCGTTTTGGTGGATTACGTCCACGTACAAAGCGTGCCATTATTCGCTTAAAGTCTGGAGATTCTTTACCTATTTTTGATTAATATGGCTCTTCGTTTTTATAAAGCATACACGCCCGGAACTCGAAACCGTTCGGTTGCGGACTGTACCGAATTAACTAAGACGCGCCCAGAAAAGTCACTTACGCGCTCATTACACCGTCCAAAAGGTCGTAATAACCGTGGAGTGATCACGTGTCGTCACCGTGGTGGTGGACATAAGCGTTTATACCGTCAGATTGATTTCCGTCGTAATAAATATGATATGTCAGCTTCGGTAAAAACCATTGAATATGATCCAAACCGTAATGCTCGTATTGCTCTTGTAGAATATGAGGATGGTGAAAAACGTTATATTCTTCACCCAACAGGATTACAAATTGGTGATTCTATTGTTGCAAGTGAAACGGCAACAAACTCAATTGGAAATTCTTTACCACTTCTGGCAATGCCATTAGGAGTACAAGTACATAACATTGAAATGCATCCGAAAAAAGGTGGACAACTTGTTCGTTCTGCAGGTGCATCTGCTCAATTAGTTGCTAAAGAAGGTGATTTTGTAACGCTTCGTCTTCCTTCTGGGGAAGTACGTTTAGTGTCGAACAAGTGCTGGGCAACAATTGGCCAAGTAGGAAATGCTGATGCAATTAATATTTCTCTTGGAAAAGCTGGTCGTTCACGTTGGCTTGGTCGCCGTCCAACGGTTCGTGGTAGTGTAATGAACGCTGCTGATCACCCGCATGGAGGTGGTGAAGGTCGAACGTCAATTGGTCACGCACATCCAATGACACCGTGGGGTAAACCTGCTCTTGGTGTTAAAACACGCGCACGTAAAAAATATAGCAACAGCCTTATTCTTCGTCGACGCAAAGTTTCATAATTTTTTAATTAACCTATGGCTCGTTCTCTTAAAAAAGGACCCTTTGTAGCGGATAAGCTCATGAAAAAAATTGAGCGTTTGCATGCAAAAGGGGAAAAAACTGTGATTCAAACCTGGTCACGTAGTTCTACGATTACGCCAATTATGATTGGTCATACTATTGCTGTGCATAATGGTCGTGAACATCTTCCCGTTTTTGTAACTGACCAGATGGTTGGACATAAACTTGGAGAGTTTTCGCCGACACGAACATTCCGTGGGCACATCAAAACTGATAAAAAAACACGCCGTTAATTTTTTTAATTTTGTATTAAAAAGTTTAATCTTGGCCTAACCCTATTCTCTCTTGTGCTTACGCGTTTGTACGCTTTAAGACTTGACCAGAGAGAGATCGTCTGATTTTCAACTATACATCTATTATGGGTCAAAAAGTTCATCCGCTCGGATTCCGAATTGGGGTTACACAAACCCACCGTTCACAATGGTTTGCAAAACCAAATGAGTATGCAACACTCGTGAAAGAAGATTTAATTATTCGTGAGTACGTCGAGAAAAATCTTGCTGATGCTGGAATTTCACGTTTGAATATTTCACGTCAAGTCGATCGTATTGAAATTGAATTCTTCACTGCTCGCCCCCGTGCCCTTGTTGGCGCAAAAGGTGAAACATTAACAGCGGTTCGTGATGCTTTAAAGAAGCGTTTACCAATGCACCGCAACGTTGCTTTATATGTAACAAAAACATTACTTCCAGAAATGGAAGCAATTTGTATTGCTGAAAACATTGCGCAACAACTTGAAAAACGTACCCCATTCCGTCGTACGATTCGTCAGGCTATTTTACGTGCGCGTAAGGCTGGTGCGGATGGTATTAAAATCCAAATTTCTGGACGTTTGAATGGTGCGGAGATTGCCCGTCATGAATGGGCACGTGAAGGTCGTGTACCATTACACACTATCCGTGCTGATATTGATTATGCAACCGCTCGTGCACAAACACTCTATGGAATTTTAGGAATTAAAGTTTGGGTTTGTAAAGGAGAGAAAAAATGCTAAGTCCAAAACGTACAAAATGGCGTAAACCACACCGTGGAAACCGTAAAGGAAAAGCACTTCGTGGAAATACAATTGCTTTTGGAGATTACGCTTTACAAGCGCTTGAACCTGGGTGGATTACTTCACGCCAAATTGAAGCTGGCCGACGTGCTATGAGTCGTTATGCGAAAAAAGGTGGGCAACTTTGGATTCGCATGTTCCCAGATAAGTCAATTACTGCCCGCCCGGCGGAAACACGCATGGGTGCTGGTAAAGGTATTCCTGACTATTGGGTAGTTGTTGTGAAACCTGGAAAGATTCTTTACGAACTTCGAGGTGTAACAGAAGAAACAGCACGCCAAACAATGCGTATCGCTTCGTATAAAATGCCAGTAAAAACAAAATTCCTTATTCGTGAAGGGTTTACCCCTTCAGTATAAAAGGTTTTGATTGCTTTGCACTTTGCCTTTTTGTCTTGATTGAGATAAGAAGTATTGTGCAGTTTTTATATTTATATTTTTATGATTCAACCACAAACGTATCTTCAGGTTGCTGATAATAGTGGCGCACGTAAATTAATGTGTATCCACGTTTTAAATCGGCAGTATGGGAACATCGGTGATGTAATTATTGCCGTTGTAAAAGATGCCTTACCGAATATGCCGGTTAAAAAAGCTGAAGTTGTTCGTGCGGTTGTCGTACGTACAGCACATACAGTTCAACGTGATAACGGTATGTCGATTCGTTTTGATGAGAATGCTGCTGTCCTTATTAATAAAGATGGTAACCCTCGTGGGACACGTGTCTTTGGACCGATTGCACGTGAATTACGTGATCGTGACTTTATGAAGATCGTCTCACTTGCACCAGAAGTTCTTTAAGTTAAATTTGATCTATGATTCAACGACTTCATAAAACGTACGAAACAAGTGTACGTCAGACTCTTTCGGAACAATTTCAGTATACCAATACACATGAAGTTCCTGCTTTAACAAAAATTGTCATTAACCGTGGAGTTGGAGATGCTGCCCAAAATGCAAAACTTTTAGAAAGTTTCTCTAACGAATTAACCGTTTTATCTGGGCAAGTGCCTGTGGTAAAACGTGCCAAAAAAGCAATTGCGGGCTTCCAAGTTCGTGAAGACATGCCGATTGGGCTTTGTGTAACTCTCCGTGGAGAGCGCATGTATGCCTTTTATGATCGTCTTGTCAACCTTGCTTTACCACGTATTCGTGATTTCCAAGGAATTAGTCCAAAATGTTTTGATGGACATGGCAACTTTAACCTTGGTTTAACGGAGCAATTAATGTTCCCTGAATTAAACTATGACAGTATTGATCAAGTTTGTGGAATGGATATTTCCATTGTTACAAGTTCAAATACTGATCAAGAAGGTCACGCTTTATTAAAAGCACTTGGGATGCCGTTCAAAGACGGCCCTGTGACTTAATTTATATTATCTCAACATCGCATGGTAAACGACACAATTAGCGATATGCTTACACGCTTACGTAATGCTTATCTCGCCAAAAAAACGGTTGTAGTATTAAAAGCAACGCGTAGTGTGAAAGATATTGCACAAGTATTAGCACAAGAAGGCTTCCTTGGACCTATTGAAAATGAAGCTAATGGTTTTTTTACAGTTACACTAAAACGTGGTGTAAAACAATTTGAACGCGTAAGCACACCTGGTGTTCGTCTGTATGTAAACCATAAAGAATTACCACCTGTTCTCAATGGGATGGGCGTGGCCGTTATCTCGACTTCAAAAGGGGTAATGACTGACCGTAAAGCTCGTGCTTTAGGAATTGGTGGCGAAGTATTGTGTAAAATTTGGTAACCAATGTTCCCCTTTTTTTGGGGACAGCGTCTCGTTTCGAGACGGTGATGATTGTGATTTGTTTAGATCAATTCGATCAAACATCAAATCAAATATCTACACTTTAATATCGCATGAATTCAAAAACGAAGGATGCACAAGAAAAATTCGAAGTTGATGGAGTTGTAACAGAGTGTCTTCCAGATGCAATGTTTCAGGTTGAGCTCGAAAACGGGTTTACTGTTTTAGCGCACATTTCTGGAAAAATCCGTCGAAATTCTATTCGAATTCTTCTTGGTGATCGTGTGACCGTTGAATTGACCCCGTATGATTTAACAAAAGGGCGTATCATTTATCGATTACGTAAAAATGATCCTTCTCGTTTCTAAGTCGAGGTTTTTCACGGGCAGTATTTTCTATTTATATTATTTTTAATATGGCAACGAAACAGCGTAAAAGTGTGCAGAAAAAAACACGCCGCAAAGTTCAACGCGGTGTAGTGCATATTTTAGCAACATTTAACAATACTTTAGTGACCATTAGTGATCGTTCGGGTCTTGTCATTGCTTCATCTTCGGCTGGAGCATGCGGTTTCCGTGGTGCACGTAAAGGAACGCCTTTTGCAGCACAAACAGCTTCAGAAGAAGCGGTACGTAAAGCAATGGATTATGGTCTTAAATATGTTGAAGTAATGGTTAAAGGTCCCGGAGCTGGTCGTGAAATGGCTATCCGTGCTCTTCAACAACTTGGGTTAGGGGTAACTTTAATTCGAGACGTGACACCATTACCTCACAACGGATGTCGTCCTCCGAAAAAACGTCGTATTTAATTGGATTTAACAACAACAACAGCAGTCAAACGGAGAAAAGATGATGATGACAGCTTCGGCAAAGTTACACTCTTTGCAATTTCAACCACTTGCTCCCACTGAATGGTATGGTCGATTAAGTTTTGGTCCAGTGTTACCTGGGCAAGGGCTGACAGTCGGTAATACTTTACGACGTGTCCTTTTAAATGATTTAAAAGGCATTAGCGTTGTCGGAGCGGAAATTGCTGGTGTTGATAACGAGTTTTCAACCTTACCTGGGGTTCGTGAATCTGTGGTGGAAATTTTTTTAAATTTGCGTGATTTAGTTTTTACGCATTATACACCTGATGAGAAAGAACCACCAAGTCAAGGAGAATTGGAACCTGGTGCAAAACCTTTTGCAGCAGCCCAGTTAAAAAAAGACTTATCTAAGTTACCGATTAGCTCATTCCCGTATGTTGTACGTGCTGGGGATTTAGACTCACAAGATTTTAAAATTGTCGATCCAACCCAACCGGTTGCTACGTTGCTTTCTCCGGAAGCCGCAGCAACATTTCAGATTTATCTTTTTTTAAGTGTTGGCCGTGGTTATCAATCTTGGAAGAAATTACCAGGGGTACCCCAAATCATGGGTCAACGCTTTTTTGAAGATTTTACACCACCGACCCGATCGCACACTGGAACTACTTTTCCAATTGATGCGATTTTTATGCCGGTAAAACGTGTAAATTTCACTATTCGAGAAAATCTTGGTGAAGGAGAATATATTTACTTTGAACTTTGGACAAATGGGAGTTTACATCCATTACAAGCGCTTCGATCAGCCGCAAAAGTTTGTATGAAAGTGATGGGAGCTTGCTTACAATGTGTTGATTTACAGCCAAGTTTAACGGATGATCTTGAACCAGGAACACCTGGGGCAACGGTCCCGGTCCAATATACAAAGTCAGAAGCCTTACCGAAATTTGAGTCAATCCCAATTGAACAGTTAGAATTATCGCTTCGTGCGTATAATTGTTTAAAGCGTGCACAAATTTTAACGCTTGCCGATTTAGCCCAACAATCTTGTAGTGATCTTTTAAGTTTACGCAATTTTGGGCAAAAGTCAGCCGAAGAAGTGCGTGCTGCGTTACGAACATATGGAATTGAATTAAAGCAGTAAATGCAAATCTTTGATCAATAGTCTCTGAGTATCGGAGTGTCTATTGTGAAAATTAGAGTGACTATTAGGGAGACAACCTATGGAAGTTTGGTCAGCAGCAGGCCGTCGTAAAAGTGCAGTTGCACAAGTACGAATTTGTTCACCTGGAACTGGAGCCATTACAGTAAATCAAGTGGATGCCGAAAAGTATTTACAAGGTGCATTCCCAACTATTTTAAAACCGTTTGAAACGGTAAAATTAGAACCAACATTTGATCTTTATATTCGTTCCCAAGGGGGAGGACTTTCGGGTCAAGCAGATGCAATTAGCCTTGGCTGTGCCAAAGCTCTTTGCTTAATGAACCCTGAATACCGTGCAGCACTCAAAGCTGAAGGGTTATTACAGCGTAACGCATTAAAGAAAGAACGTAAAAAGTATGGTTTGAAAAAGGCTCGTAAAGCGCCACAATTTTCAAAGCGTTAATTTGGTTTTTTTGCATTTCAATCGTTTGGTCTTTACTTTTTGTAAAGAGCATTCGACAGAAATGTGTGTTTTAAATCTTCAAGTGTTTTCTTTTTTCATGTTTTGAAGTTTCTCTTCTTGGACTGGGTGAAGAAAAGCACTTGAATGATTTTTGCCTTTGGCATATACTACGAACATGTCTTAGTGGTGGAATGGTAGACACGCAAGCTTGAGGGGTTTGTGCTTTACGGCGTGGAGGTTCGAGTCCTCTCTAAGACAATCCCCATTTCTATGGGAGCATAAAGTATATGGGTCGATGCCCGAGTGGTTAATGGGGGCGGACTGTAAATCCGCTGGCTTTGCCTACACTGGTTCAAATCCAGTTCGGCCCAATCCAAAGATTCCGTGGCTGTGGTGGAATGGTAGACACTGGAGACTTAAAATCTCCTGCCGGTAACGGCGTGAGGGTTCAACTCCCTCCAGCCACATTTGAATTTTGTAGATTTTTTTCTTTGTTTTAGAATAGCACTCACGGCTATTTTAGGTGTGGTATGACTCTTTTTGGACGTAGATTAAAATTTTTAGAAAAAAATTGAATTTCAAGATTTTTTTATTTTAAAAATAAGGTATGATAGGTACTGTGAGACATCAAAGCACGGAGACAGTGATGAATTTCCTTTACGATATTGCGAATGTTGAAATTGGTCAACATTTTTATTGGACCCTTGGTGGTTTCCAAATGCACGGGCAAGTGCTCATTAACTCATGGATTGTTCTTGGAATTATTGTTGCTATTGCAGTAACAACAACTCGAGACTTAAAGCCAGTACCAGAAGGTGGGCAAAACTTTGCTGAGTTTATTGTTGAGTACATTCGTGGAATTGCGAAAACACAGATTGGACATGATTATTTAGAATGGACTCCATACATTGGAACATTATTCTTATTTATTTTTGTATCAAACTGGTCTGGAGCACTTATTCCATGGAAACTTATCGAGCTTCCGCATGGAGAACTTGGTGCACCAACAAATGATATTAACACAACGGTAGCTCTTGCGCTTCTTACGTCAATTACATATTTCTACGCTGGTCTTAAAAAGAAAGGTTTAGAGTATTTTGGTAAGTATGTAGAACCAACACCTATCTTACTTCCAATTAACGTTTTAGAAGACTTTACAAAGCCATTATCATTAAGTTTCCGTCTTTTCGGAAACATTCTTGCTGATGAACTTGTAGTAGCTGTACTTGTATCATTAGTACCGCTTGTAATCCCGATTCCTCTTATTTTCCTTGGACTCTTTACAAGTGGAATTCAAGCCCTTATTTTTGCAACGCTTGCGGGTGCATATATTGGGGAAGCACTTGAAGGTCACTAAACCTAATTTGTTTACTTACTCTGGGTTTTTAACTCGACGTGAGTATCGGCCGTACTCTTTTCTCCTGAGTTTATTAGGGAGAAAAGTAGTGAGGGCAATTCTAAATTGAATTTATAAAAACTTTTTTTGCATTTTTTTTATCTTCGCTTTTTTTCTTTGTTTTTTTTTCCCTTTAAGTTTTTAAAAAGGGCTAAACCCTGTTAATCTTGCAATGCATAACCAATTTAGAAAAAAGGAACATATAAGGAACCCTTTATTTTGTGCCGCTGCTGGTATTGGGGCTGGGTTAGAAATGGGACCTTGGGGGCGAATTGGCCCTGGGAAT